TTACAAATCTCAACGCCGTCCATCCGTACGGAAACAACGCCACAGTATTCCGTAACGGCGGGTTCTTCAAGTTATACGTCTTCTCATCAACCCCTGCCCGAAACTTCCCTTCACCATAACCCAAAACCCAAAAATCATGCCCATGAAGATGCCACGGATGTATCTCACTGCCTCTACCGTTTAAAACGTTGGCGTTTTGAAGAATCACGTCGACCACGCGGCCAAGCTTGAAGCTATAGATTCCGCTACCTTTCGTAGTGTTTGGATTCACCGGAGGTTTCATGATGTCGTATTCCTCTACTATCTCCTTCCCCGGAGGTTTTTGATAGTTCAACGACTTTAGACCGTATCTAATAGTTCCGATGTAGGGCGTCGCAGGGACTGATAAGGACACGTTGTTGATAGCCCATTTTGTGTAATTATCCATGAGGTTCTGAGTGTTGAGGAGGAAGAGCTGCTCGTGTGATATCTCCGGTGGTGGTGGATATCCTTTCGCGGCGAGGATTTTCTTGGAGAAACTTTTGCTACGGTCGTAGTCGTCCCATTTGGGAGTTACCGGGGGAGGATAAGGTAGATGTTCGAATTCAGGAGCGTTGGTATAGTGTAGCACGGTGAGTGCTTGAGTAGTGTTGGGTTTACGGCCACGTACGCCGACGGAGATCCAGTATTTTCTAGGAGGAGTTGGATTATGGGTTCGGAGAAGAACGGAGTATGTCTCGCCGGAGTATATGTCGATGTCGTTGACTGTGAAGGGGGTGATGTAGTTGCCGTCGGCTTCAACTACTTCTAGTTGGTGTCCCTGCATGGGCACAATCAACCTCACAACTATGAATAAATTAAATATTCAAGTACAAAAAAGAAAATTTTGCAAATCTCAATGAAAATATAGTTTGTCAGAATAAAATGATATCTATTCTTATATCATTTCGATTGTTTTATAGAAAAAGTTATATTTTGATTAGAAAATATATTGAATTCAAATTTTTCAATCAAAAACAGTGATAAGATTCATATGGTTTATGAAAGTTATATTTAAACCAAAGTAATAATATTTCAATTTGGCTATTATACTTTTTGATACCAACATGGCTGACCCACAGATTTTGGCATCGTATTTTCAATAAATTGGAGAAGGTTTATGTCTATGTAATTTTTTCAAGGGACCAGATTCATTGATTGCCCCGAACCTACCCTACATACAAACATGAATACACCTAAACAAAAATTTGTTGACTAACCCAGAACCGGTTCTAGAAAATAGTCAAATAAAATACTGAATTGAATCCATAATTTTGAGGTAATATGCATAAACTATATGATTTTAATTTTGAGTTAGTATGTATAAACTATATTTCAAGTGCAAAAAAGGAAATTTTGCAAACTTCAATGAAAAAATAGTTTTTCAGAATAAAATTATTCTACTCTATATAATTCCGATTATTTTATAGGAAAAGTTATATTTTGACAGAAAATATATTGAATTTAAACTTCTCAACAAATATTCAAAATAATGATAACATTCATATGGTTTATGAAAGTTAAGTTCAAACCAAAATTAAGTGTATGCTTTAATAATTCAATTTGGCCATTACTTCCTGATACAAACATGAATACCTACACAAAAACATGGTGACTAGCCGAAAACCGGTCCTAGAAAATAGTCAAATAAATTGAATCAAAAAAATTGAGTTAATATGCTTAAACTATATGATTTTAGTTTTATTAAAAAATACTACTGATTTTAATAAACACTTTATGTCTTAGAGATAGCTCTGAATGGTTCAGTTTATAATAAGAAAATATGTTACAAAGTTTAGCAAGGGCGTAACTTACTTCAACGGCTAAGTTGAGTGACGCAAGAGCGGTGGTGCTAGCGATCCGAAGACGATAAACTTTTAAAGGCTCGACCCTAAGAATTGTAGGTGCACACTCATCATTATCTTTAAACTTACACTCTTTCAAGCCTCCCTTGTTAAAATACGCAGCTAGTGAACAATTGAACTGTCCTCTCCCGTTGATCAACAGACTACGAGGCTCGCCGATCCAACGCATAGGCCTCGAAGAAAGATAGACTTCTTGCATGTGACTGCTTTCATGCCACCAATCACTGAGCAACAGGTTAAACTCTCCATCGTACTGTAACGTCTCTTTGGGCGACCTCACTATCATCATCCCGTACAGTCCCGCTGATCTCTGCATCCCGTAGTGTCCGTGGTAGAAATGTGTTCCCGCCTGTACCATATCAAAAACGTTATCCATACATGTCTATTTGTAAAAATTAAAATGAAGAAAACAGTAATTTTTTTTTTATTACCTTATCAACAATGAAATTGTAAGTGAAAGTCTCGCCAGGATTAATGGGACATTGCGTTACACCCGCTGCTCCATCTGCCCATGGAGTCCCATTCTATTCCACGATCACATTTCATTAGTCCCGTTCTAGTTAATTTTATTATACTAACGTTATATGTTATATGTAAACCTTTTGATAAAATATACTGTAGTAACTAAGCAACCTGACGTATGCCGTGCCAATGGATGACAACACCTTCGGTGGAGAGTTTGTTGGTAACGTGGACGATGATTGTGTCTCCAGCGGTTGCATTAATCGTTGGTCCTGGAAACTCGCCGTTGATGGCAATAACGATGCCTTCTATACAATCCGGCCACCGGAGCTTATACTCAACCTCCCAGTTTAATTCTACAACTCCGGCGGAGGCCGAGTGAACAGCCACCATAACCACCGTCACTAGCCACCACACAATAACTGACATTGAATCGGTTGTGTGGCTGGATATAGTGTGAAAATTATACAGAATAGATTGTGTTGCTTTGTTATGAAAGAGGTTTTGTAGCTCTATATATAGAAAGGGAATTTTGTTTTTATTTAAATTTCAAAATTATAAGGAAAAATCCAAATCATTTTTTCATAAATTATTTTTGTCTTTTTATTTTGTGGATGTTACTGATTGAATTTGAAAATCTGATATCATTAAGAAACGAAAAAAAGAAAGACGACAAGATCAATGGACCATTCCTGGCAGTTTGGTAATGGAAGACACTGGAGTTATGCAATAGGTTTCGGCATGTTCACATTGTTTACTTGGAAGAAACGTGTAGTCTCCAACAATGAAGATCTAGAGATTGGAAGCATTTCGAAATATAAAACTAATTAAGTATTAGTCACGAACAATTATGAGCGTATGTATATTGGCTACGTGGCCTTTTGCCTTGCACAAAAAAAAAATGAAAATCCTTAATTACATAATCTATAATAATATGGGATTTCTAGTTAATTCCAGCTATGATTGGCTATGTAGTTGCTTATTTGTATATATACTTATTAAAGTTTTTGTTTATTTAGAAAAATCTTCCAACAAAGCAAAAGAGATACAAGTGTTTTTTCACTGAGATAAGCTGCTGCAGACAAGGTCAGTAAAAAGACAACGGAATCTTGGACTTCCATGCCTTCACTCATCCATCAAGGCAACGATCAGTAATTTTCATATCTTTGCCAACTTTTAAGATTTTAGTTCGTCAGTTCGTTTGCCTCCAAAACTAAATAGAACAATTGACCATGTAATGTGATTTTGTTTCCAATTACACAACATCTTATCACTATAAATCATTGGCCACCAAAAGGTTAAAGATGATCCCGTGAATAACGCAATTATTGGTGACATTGAGCCACTTACTCTTTATAGAAGCCACAGACTCTTTAACTTATTATAAGTTTATAACAGTATCCCCGATATAGACTGTCTTTTATCACAAATGCAATGTGGTTTTTAATTAGCCGCCAAAAATAATAATACTAGTAGTAGGATTAATAATGCAAGTCAATAATAAATCTTCACAATTACCTCCACAAGACACACTCGACCAACACTTGAATGCAGTGTGGTGCAGAATGTTGTTTACTATGTATACATCTGAATCTCTTTATAGCAACAATCATAGATTCATAGCTCAATTCATTTTTCTAATAATGACTAAACTTTTATATCCTATTATATTCTCACTCGTAGACTGTAATAATTCATGGATAAATAACATGCCTCAAAAGCCTACACTAATATACGAAAATGCAGCCGGAATGGCGGAATATGTATCTGTGTGACAACATACTAGACTCTTAGCCGGTACACTTCACTACCCTACAAAAAAATATGATTATAACTTTTTAACACACTGGTGAGTACACCAGTTATTAGAGATATTTCGGCACGTGTTTCTTTATAAAAGCCACAGAATCTTCGAGTGGTTGTAAACAGAAACCACAAAAATAGGTTGTATTTACTATTGATGCAATTTGGTTAGGCTTAGTCAATAACGCAACTTCAAGTATGATGTATACAATTATAGTGGTTTAATAAGCCGATAAAAATTAATACTTCAATAAATGCAAATCAATAAGCCGATAATAATTAATACTTCAATAAATGCAAATCAATAAGCCGATAAAAATTAATACTCGACCAACTCTTGAATGCAGTGTGGTTCCAAATGTTGTTTCCAGGGTTTTCCCATAGTTTAATTCACAGCTCTAATAACAAAACTTTTTCTTCCTATTTTGTTTTATCTTGTAGCTAGATTATAGTGATTCATGGATGATTAACATGCATCAAGAGCCAAAATTTACATACGAAAATGTATCCCCGGAAATTAACCAGTACGCAATACGGATTTAAGTAATAATCAACTCAACTTATTACAGATGCAAAATAATTATTTTGAACATGAAAACAATCCCACTTAGAAAAGTATGGACACAACAAAAAAGTATGGACACAACAAAAGTCTACAAAACTCATTGTCCCTACTATTTCTTCTTATTTTTTTGAAATTGTGTAGACCTCACATGTGACTATTAAAGGACTTTGTATTTTTGCAATTTACATGATTTGTCCGCAAACCAAGTATGGACCTAGATGATGAATCGTATTCGACTAGACATGAGTGGTAACAAAACCAAACATCACTTGTGGTGGAATCCAAATAAATAAAACAATGTATCCAAATCCATATTTTTTGTCTTATATGACAGATCATATTCATACACACAAGTGATAATGCAGACAAGGTAAAGAACTTGTTATCAATACAAATGGTAAATCTCAGTGTCACACAAACGAACATAACAGTACGCGAAGGGCGCATGTATAGATTTTACATACACACAGACAGACAGACCTCAGAATTTTTTTTTTTTGGGTTTCAACTAGGAAATATATATACTTATTACATAATAGATGTGATACTTGATAAAGTGGTGAAGTGTTCTTTCAAGGTCACCCCCTTCATTTTCTTGTTTTTCATGTTTTGGCCAGTTGTTTCAGTTGCAGTTTGTGTCGTAGCTTGCAAGACCGATTAGTTCTGGTCCCTCCAATCTCGAGTTGTTCTCAAAGCTGCAATAATTGTTCTCAGTTATTAAGAAAAACTTTTCATATGCAACTTTATATCGAGTATCCAATTCAAATGGTATCCGTTAACAGAAACTACTTAACAGTGCAACGAGGTAGTATCAAGAAACTTATTGGCCAAGTGAAAAGACAAAGAAACTTACTTCTGTAAAGGAATGTGTCCAAAAGGTCCTTCTGTTGGGATAGTTCCACACAAATCATTGTTTGATACATCCCTGAGGAAAAGATGACAATATTAAGAGCATAGAGTCAGTAGATTGGAGAAAAAGGGTTCAAAGACTGGTGCTTAAGAAAACAGCAGCAGAAACAAGGACAAAAAGAAATAAGCTGAACTTACACGACTTTAAGGCTTGGGATTTTCGTGAGTTGTCTAGGGATTGGTCCAGTCAATTGGTTGTCGTTGAGTCGTCTGCATCATTAACCAGTTTATTAGAGAGGCAGGATACGAGAAGAATCAGGTACCGACTCATATCACATGATGAACACCACAATTTGTTATTTCTTTTGTGTGAATTACGGAGTAAAAATAGTACCATCACTCAGCATATGAATTGCAATTCTCAAAGCTATATAAATGTTCTATACTTACAGAAAGACCAGAGACTTCAATTTTCCCAAAGCAGAAGGGATTTTCCCAGTAAGATTGTTGTTGTAGAGATCCAAGCTGATGAGGTTCTTTAGGTTTCCAAGTTCAGAAGGTATAGTCCCTTCGATTTTGTTTTTGTACAGCTCCCTGTGTCAATCAGTTATAAGACAAGTAAAGTTAATCCACATTGTCTATTACATAACCAATCTCATAGTCAGTACTTTAGCTCTACTTTATGGTACGTAACTTTATTTCCACTATCTAATTTCATTACAGCTGGTAGTGGAAATAAAGTTGCAAAATTTGGAAAAGTGCAAAAGCCAAAACAATGATGACATACAAATACTGTAGATGTTCGAGCTTCCCAAGCTCAGGTGCAAGATGTCCTGAAAGGTTTGAATTGCCCAAATCCCTGCCAAAAACGGAAAAAAAAGAAATGTTGAATCAGAGACACACTTTCAAGAGCACAATACCAATCTTTATATCTATAAAAAGAAAAAAATATAATACAAAAGCCAGGAAGCATTCCTTTTAGTTCTTTAGATAATCAAACAGTTCTGAGATAATTAAATCTGATCAATTAAAACGAATCCAAGATTCTTCTAAAAGCGTATACGAACACACCGAACAGAAAGTAAACAAGGCACTGAGAAAATCATGAGGTACAATCAAAATTTAAACTGCTTAATAGATGGAATAAAGAGACTATTGGGGATCTTTTGAGAATCTTAAAGAATCCATCTACAATGTGCAAAAATCAATGGGAGCTTTTAGATTTCCCCTTTTCATATTGTAAAGTTGAACAACAAAAGTGTTTTTGTTTTTCCTTCTTCTAAACAGCCGTACTCTGCATCCGAAGCTGTGAAAAGGGTCACCATTATCTTAAGTAGTTTCATGAACGCTAAAGAAACCAAACTAAAGTTACCCCCCAAGTTTTGACCCAAAAAAAAAAAAAGTTACCCCCCAAGTTTAAAGTTTCCAAAAGACAACGGAAAGCTGAATCATCATCAGCACATAAACTAAATCCCGAATTTAACTTAAGAGATAACAAACATCTGAAGAAGCAAAAAAAAAAAAAAAATTCAAACCAAGTTTCAAAACTTTCAATCACATTTAAATTCATGAAACCGTACAATCACTACTGGGATATTTGTTTTTACAAAATAACCACAAGAAATAGTGTTTGCTCTTTTTCTCAATTTTACAATCACTAAGTATGAACAAATCAATTGTGTTCAAGTTTTTTTACACTTAGATCTTTCATCAATGATCAACGTATATTGATTTTGACTCTTAACACCATCATGTTAAAAGGTCAGAGCTTTATAGAAGCAAAATCCAAAATTAGAAACTAACCCACAAAAACTCTGTCCTAAAAATAGAGTCTTTATATCAAAAGAATCTCCAAAGATTCTCACAACAGAGAAAAGAGAGGATCTTACACACGAGTGACACGGTTGTCTTGGTTACAGGTGACATGGAACCAGGTACAAGGGCTAACAAGAGTCGGATCCCAGCTTTGGAGCACATGGTCTGGATCCGATAAGCTTCTGCGAAGAGCGTAAAGAGCATCTCCTTCCGAGTTCGCATCCACCAAGTGAATCAGAGCTAAAGTTAGGGCTAGAGAAGCCGCGAGAAGCTCCCACCGACAGTTTCGGGACGCCATGTGAGATGTGGAGAAAGGGAATTTGAGTAAAGTTAGTTTCCTTTTTTTTTTCGATCAGAGAAAATTAGGGTTTCGTTGCTCCTCTCCTTTTTCTCCCTCTTTAGTTGAAGTTGAAGAAATGGATTTTGATTATGCGATTTGGTGTTGGGAACGACGGAGAGAAGAAAAGACTTCTCTACTTCCTGTCTTTTTTTTCTTCCTTTACTTTTAATATTCTTGTCTTTTTTATTTTCTTTATAGTCTTTGGACACTGTATTGATTTGTGGAATTTAAATTGGAAAAATAAAAATAAGATAAACGCACTGGAACTATTTTGCATTTGAAAAATGTGAAACAAAATAAAGAAGAGTATTTGTCCAAAAAGAAGAGTATATTTAAATATACTTGTACTTTAAGTGGAGCTGTATTCTCCACGATATATGAGAATATGATAATATTAATTTATGATATGTCGAGAATATGAACTACTTTGGTTTAAACTTTAATCCATTTAAAATACTATATGATTCTTAGATAATAAATTTAGTTACAATTTTGGAAAGTGATTTTTGCTTTGGTTTGAGTTTAACAGTTAAGCGTTGATATTAACAATTAAGCTTTTAGTTATAATAATAAAAAAAAGCTTTTAGTTATAATTTTTTTTTTTCAGTTCAAAGAAAAAGAAAAAGACGTAGAAAAAGGAAGTCTTGTAGCGTTATTTTTGGTTTTAAAAGTCTTCTAGTATTGTGTTAAAAAAAAAAAGTCTTCTAGTAACTCGTTGATTTGGTCAAAGCAGTAAAGAGGTGTTTGTTGCGTTGGTCAAAATTGGAAACTAGAGTTCACACACTATTCTTGTGTGATGATATTCGCTTTTGCGTATATAGTTTGGTACAAACGCTCTATCATATTCATTCGATGGAATGTGAGATTTATGCACTAACGAACAAAAAAAAAAAGGGTTGAGTGCAAACTTAAATAATTGAAGATTTGATCAAAGTCAATGATATTCGATTCTTATTAATATAGAATCTGATCCGACGAACACATACTTAACACTTAAATGTCGGAATAATCACCAACTCCACCACTATGTTGTTTGATATAGCACATTATTATTATATTGTAGAATGTCACATATGTATAAGATATAGACTTACGAAAAATCGCATTCACAACAATTTGTTGCTTAGTTAAAGGAATTCAACAGAGAGCGTTACAAACTAGTTATAGACAAACAAGGTGATAAGAACTAATGCCGCTTATTATGATAATTATCCTCTGTTTAAGATTTCGTTAAACTTGTTGATAATTACAAATATTTAGATAGAGCTTATCGGTTTGTTAGACCGACTTATATGTAGTATATATACTCTTCCTTGTACACATTAATAAACAAGTTTTCAAGTTAAGTTCGATATCCTTTTCTACATGGTATCAGAGCTAACATTCGATCAATAAACATTATTAGTTTCAAGTTGATTCTTTCGTCAGTGGCGATGTCTGGGGTTGATTCTAAAGAAGAAGAAACAACTTCAAGTTCTGTTGTGAAATCGGGTGATAAAGGAGAGATGTCTGTCATGACGCCATATACTCTTCACAGTTCCGATAATCCTGGTGCCGTGATAACCCTGGTAACGTTGAACGGAGAAAACTACAATCTATGGGCAAACGAGATGCTTAATGCACTTCAAGCCAAACGGAAGGTAGGGTTTGTTAATGGAACCGTGAAGAAACCGTCAAGTGATAGTCCTGACTATGACAATTGGGTTGCAGTGAACTCAATGGTTATAGGATGGATACGTACATCTATAGATCCTAAAGTAAAGTCTTCTGTTACGTTTGTTTCTGAAGCAAGTCGGTTATGGTCTAGTCTCAAACAGCGGTTCTCAGTTGGGAACAAGGTCAGAATTCATCAAATAAAAGCTCAACAAACGGCTTGTAGACAAGAAGGACAGTCCGTTCTAGAGTACTATGGACGGATGTGTTCTTTGTGGGAAGAATTGTTCGTCTACAGACCTTTGCCAATGTGTATGTGTGGTGCTGCAGAAGAAATCAGATAGGAACGTGATGATGATAAGGTTCATCAATTTATCATGGGACTGGATGATTCCTGGTTTGGAGCTTTGTGTACTACGCTTATTGGATTAGATCCACTCCCATCTATTGGAGAGGTTTATTCAAAAGTGATAAGAGAAGAACAAAGACTGAATGGTGCGCGTTCTCAGGACCAGCAACAAGATGCTGTAGGGTTTGTTGCTCGCCACAAGATGCTGTAGGGTTTGTTGCTAGCCACTCTGCTACGGGTGAAGAGAATACTTCCAGATCAGATTCTTCTATATTACGCAACAAGGACAAAGTTTGTTCTAACTGTGGACGTTCTGGTCATGAAAAGAAAGAGTGCTGGCAGTTGGTTGGGTTTCCAGACTGGTGGGTTGAGCGCTCTGATCGTAGTACTGCTAGTAGAGGACATGGAAGGAGTGGTCGTGGTTCTAACAATGCTGGACGTGGTAGAGGTCAGGCTTCTGTTGCACATGCCACAAGTTCCAATGCGTCATCTTTCCCTGAGTTTACACAGGAACAATGGAAGGTTCTTTCTCAAATAATTCACGAGAAGTCCGGAGCTGACAGGTTGCCTGGTAAGGCTAAATTTGGTGATGTTATTCTTGGCACGAGGGCTTCTCACCATATGACTGGTGATCTCTCGTGTCTGAAGATATTGTCTCGATTCCACCATGTTCTGTGGGATTTGCAGATGGAAGTAAAACATTCGCAATGAGCATGGGAATATTTCCCTTATCTAAGAAAGTTTATTTGAAAGGAGTTTTATATGTCCCGTCCCTCAATTGCACTCTTATTTCTGTTTCGAAAATTTTGAAACAGACTGGTTGCCTTGCCACTTTTTCTGATGCAGTTTGTGTATTGCAGGACCGTTTCTTGAGGACTCTGATTGGAACCGGTGAAGAGCGTGATGGGGTCTACTTTCTGACAGATGTGGCTACTGCAAAGATACACTCTGTTGGCGTCTCTACTGATCAGACTTTGTGGCATCAGCGTTTGGGGCATCCTCGTTTTTCTGTGCTTTCTTCTTTACCTATGTTTTCTACCTCTGTTTGCTCTAGTACTTGTGATGTTTGTTTTCGAGCTAAACAGACGAGAGAAGTGTTTCCAGACAGTTTTAATAAATCAGAAGAGTGTTTTTCATTAATTCATGTTGATGTTTGGGGGCCATATCGAGAACCCTCCTCTTGCGGTGCAGTTTATTTCTTAACTATAGTCGATGATTTTTCTCGCACTGTTTGGACATATCTCATGTTAGCAAAGTCGGAAGTTCGAACTATCCTGCCAAACTTTCTAACATATGCAGAAAAACAGTTTGGCAAGTCTGTGAAAATGATAAGGAGTGACAATGGAACAGAGTTCATGTGTCTCTCCTCTCTGTTCAGAGAAAAAGGAATTGTTCATCAAACGTCGTGTGTTGGAACACCGCAGCAGAACGGCAGGGTTGAGCGAAAACACAGACACATTCTCAATGTCTCTCGAGCTCTACTCTTTCAAGCAAAATTGCCAATAAAACTCTGGGGGGAAGCGGTTTTAACAGCAGCTTATTTAATTAATAGGTAACCTTCTACTATACACAAAGGTCGTTCACCTTATGAGATTTTGCACGGGAGTAAACCTGATTACAGTCTTCTTCGTGTCTTTGGCTCAGCTCGTCGGCTGATATGTCGCTTACAGTCTTCTGTGACTCTGATTGGTCATCCTGTCCTATTACCAGGCGGTCTCTTAGTGCTTTTGTGATGATGCTTGGTGATTCTCCGATCTCTTGGAAGACCAAGAAGCAGAAAACAGTGTCTCATTCTTCCGCTGAAGCCGAGTATCGGTCCATGGCAGCTGCGTTGCGTGAAGTCAAGTGGTTACGGAAGCTGTTACAAGGATTGGATGTCGAACAAATGGCGACTCATTTCTATTGCGACAGCAAAGCTGCCATTCACATAGCTTCTAATGCTGTCTTTCATGAGTGAACAAAACATATTGAAAATGATTGTCATGCTGTTCGTGATGCAGTTCAGTCAGGTTTGATTAAGCTTCATCATATTCGAACTCAAGACCAGGTTGCTGATATTCTTACAAAGGCGTTGGGGCGTGCACAGTTTCGTACTCTGTTGTCCAAGTTGGGCATTCATGATCCTCATGCTCCAACTTGAGGGGGAGTATTACGATAATTATCCTCTATTTAGGATTTCGTTAAACTTGTTGATAATTACAAATATTTAGATAGAGCTTATCGGTTTGTTAGACCGACTTATATGTTGTATAAATACTCTTCCTTGTGCACATTAATAAACAAGTTTTCCAGTTAAGTTCGATATCCTTTTCTACACCGCTCTACAACAAACATACGTGACAGCAAAACAGAAATGTGAAAGCGCTCTCTAGAGAGTAATTATTTTCCTGTGGAGTTGTTGTGCATCATGGCGATGGTGGTCATGATCATGGAAGAGAAGGGTTAAGATACCTACCAGACATAGGACGGAGCCAACAAGTAGTTTGTCGTAGCGCTCCACCCAGTGAAACTTCAGCTGGCTTGCACCAAGAACGATAGAGCTACCAGCGATGTCATCACCAAGATTGTGCTAGCAGCCCAAATAATATTAAATCATGTCAGAGATATCCTTGTAAAATCATGCTTAGTTTCCCTAAGATTGTCGATATATAGAGATGTTTACTGAAGCCACTAAACATGTGACAAAGCGTTAGAGAATTTTCTCACCTGATCAATAGAATCTCATCAGTGTGGGAGACACCAAATTCTCATCTATGCAAAGAAGAAGCGAAAGGGATTCCATATACACAAGAAGACAACAAAAATGTTGATAGACGAACATCATCACAACATATACAAAGAGTGACCATTGAAGTATCATTTCATGCCCATATTCCTATCTCAAGCTCATAACAATGCCTTAGGATTAGGTTGAATCATCGAAATGCAGAAATTCATCAACATCACATAATGAGGAAGAGAGTTGTGGAAAGCGTCCATTTCTGAGCGCGTCCGAGGATGGAGAAAGGTAACCAGTGCGTCGGAATGAACGAGTTAAGGAGCGCGATATTGTCGTAATTCCCCATGTTGCGCTGAGTGTATCCATTCTGAGTCTAGAGAACAGCAGCTCGATCTGAGTCGAAAGAGTGTTTTACATGAGAATCTTCGAAGACAAAGCTCAGATAACCGAAATCAT